AAAAGACTGAGGAAGGATCCATGGAAATTATTCATCCGAATGCAGAGAGATCGCGACTAACCTCTTTTAGAATGTGGAGCGTTTATTTCCTGCAGAGGATTTCCGAACCATCAGCTTTTAAAGAAAAAAGCCTCCAAGGTAGCCACAAGAGCAGGCATGAACAGGAACAGTCCCGAAAACCTCACCAAGTTCGGCAATTGGGAGGAGAAGATCTTGGGCACCAGTTGAGTGAGTGCTAGCTTTAGAAATTGGTTTGAGGGAAACAGGAGGAATTTCACAGCTTAAACTCATCCCTCCCCTTCGCTGCCCTTTTCCACTTTCCTTCAAACCAAACATACTTACAGGGTGAAAGCAGCTGTTTTCTTTCCTTTATTTTTTATTTTTTATTTTTTTTGCTAAATACATTGTTAAGGCATACAACTTAACCATATTAACAGATAAAGCTCCCGAACTAAACAAATAAGCAAAAAACCCCTTCGTTAACGCCCACTGTTTGCTTCCGTATAATTTTTGCTAAGCTAGAAAGCCTAATTTTGCCGTTTGTTTCTTTCTTATGAAAAATGGATTTGTTAATTTGTTTGGTGCCAAGCAGCCCAAAAATGAAATTTCAATTTAGTCTAAAATTTTCAAATTTAAAAGTAAACTAATCTTCAAATTTAAACTAATTTGTTGAACACTTAAATCAAAAGAAAAGAAACAAAAAGTGTTAAAACCAAAATCAAAAGCTTTTTCAAAATTGTGCTGATAAGTAGAGGATGGGGTTGGTTGATGTAGCTTAAAAGCAATTTCATTTCGAGTAAATTCTTCTTCCACAACTTTGAAAAAATATATGTTAGATGAGAATTTTGAGTTTAATTTTTGAAGTGACGTACAAATAAGTTTTTAAAAAAATTACTCTTAAGCTTCACCAACTAAATTCTAAAACTTCTAATGTTTCCAATTTGAGCAACAGTCAAAACCCTATTTAATCAATTTCTCATTCAAAGTTTGGCTTTTCCAAGCTTGAGTTTTTTGATTTGAAGCCAAGCAATGGCAATTTTGGTTTTAATTAGTGACACTATTTCACTAAATAAAGAAATTTTATTGGATGCTTAATTCATACTCCTTTCGTTTCAGAATAATATAGATTTTTTATTTTATTTTTAGATTAAGCATCTAAGGGCAATTTTTACTTTTACCCATGTTATCCTTAAAAGGAGAAATAAAAATAATAAAACTTAAATTACAATAAGATGAATAATTAAAATAAAGAGATTAAGATAATGATATAGAGATAACTTTTTTGTACAACCTTTTTATATAACTTTCACATGTTATTAAATAATTGAATGCATTCAATATCACAAGTTTTAAATGAATAAAAAGAGCCAATCATTTAAATAATATGTAAAGTTGTACAAAAAATAATACAAAAAAAATTGTCCCTAAATCATTTTCCAAATAGAAATAAGAGACTTAAATACATTTTTAAAGCACATGCTTACTTGGAATGCCACATAATCAGAACATTTGCCGCATAAGCAATTTTTGTATTTCCACTTAACATTAAAAAAATAGAGAAAATAATAACTTAACAGAATGCTGTGCTCCGTTGGTAAAAAGCTTAAGAGAAGACCAAAAAGTGGCCAGAAAAATAAACTTTAAGACTAAAAAAGAGCTCTTTTCTAAGTTAGGATAAAAAAAAGGTACCATATAAAAGTTGAGGGACTAAAATAGGGTTTTAACCAAAATAACATATACATTTACTCTATATATATATTGCCTTAATGAATCAACTAATCCTCAATATCTATGAACACAAACTGTCACTCATACCGAAAGAAATTACTGCATTTCTTTTTGTTTGGGGGGTGGTGGAGGCCATATTGCTTATGCTAAGTCTTCTTAGTGAAATATAACCAGAACTATAGTGGCAATATCTATTCAATATAAGTAATTAAAAGATCTTAAATTCAAGTAATATAATATGCAAATAGAATGAGTTATGAGATAAAAAAAAGTTACTTTTCATTTGTGCAACCTGAAATTAAAAAATAAATAAATAAATAAAAAGAGCATCAGGCACAGCACATGGTCTTTGAGTTACAACATTTTTTTTTTCTCTCTCTTTGTTTGCAATTAAAGGGATCGATTTGGATGAATGAATATTAAAGGAAAAGAGCACCTAAGTTTTTATGTAAAGCAATACATAAGTAATTGGTAAGTCTTGTGCTGTTGTTAAATCTAAAGACCCCAATTCATCAACGTATCAGAACCCTTTTCACAAAAAAGATTAAAAATGCAAAAGAAGTATCAATAAGTTGATAAAACTTTACTTTTTATGAAGACTAAGAATAGAATAGCTACATAACTTGGCCTAAAAGGAACGAAAACATAGATGCATAGGAAAAATAAAAAAAAGGACAAGCCTACTAGGCCAAAACGTATTGAAAAAGCCTTGTGATCAGGAACAAAATAAATAAGAGAAACTAAGAAAGAAATGAAACATTAAGATTTTTTTTTGTTTAATGTAATCACTTATCTTCATTGAGATACATTTCTGAGCAGCGACATAGAAATTGTTTATTCGGTGTAGAAACCTCCTAGCATTTTTGTCAAAAGTGCCAACTCATACTATCAATTGGGCTTGATAATCCACATCAAGGTGTGTCTAACACAACTATCTCAACATTGACAAATCACACCGTTGATATTTGAGGGATGATGAAATCAATAAAGAAATGTTAGTGAGAGCTAACTTAAAATATATAATTCATCACACTTGTAATTCAACAACTGAAAAGGATATATGCAGCAGCAACCTACATTCAATCGCCCTGATTTCAATATAAGAGCTTTCAATTAACCAGCTCTACTCAAATTGATTTAGAACCTGATGAAAAAGTTCAGCATGCAACCACTGCTTAAGAGAATGCCCTTAACTTTGCCTATGCAGAAAAGCTTTTACAGTAATTATAGGAAATAAAAAATGGATCTTTCTGATGTACAATTACAGCTTTCAGCAGCTCTGTATCCATTTTGCAAATGAAAAGCTGCAACACCATTTTAATGAGGTTAGGTTTCTTCAATGGATTTGGCTTTGACATTGGAGAAAGAGCAAGATTAATTGTTGTTCTTTTCATGTGTGTTTGCAGCAGTGTTTGAAATCGAGAAGAAAGAATATGTCAAGGAAGGCATAAACTGAAGCAACATTGAGTTCAAAAGTAACCAAGATGTTTTGAATCAAATAATAAAGGTTTTTATCTGGTTACCCTTCGTATTTTCAAAATGGCATTTTTGATTTTCCTACTTCTTTCCAGGACCATTTATATAGCTGTTTCAGTCTAAATAAATTTTACTTCAAATTAAACTTATTTGATTACTTTTTTCCTGACATGTAATACTGTCCTACTTTGATAACTAACAGGAATTTAGGGTATGTTTGGTACAGCTTCCCAAGTGCTTCAGCTTCTTGACACTATTCATGTCTCATAAATTTAAATTTTTCTCCCAAAAACTTACATTTTTAAACCCTTTTTTACCCTTAAAAAGACCCTAAACAGTAAAAGATCAAAAACTTTAAATTCAAACTTTTCATAAACTTCCTTCTTACTCACTTTTTACTCACTTTTTCTTATATTTAAAAGCAACTTTTAAATTTTCTTTTTAATAAAAATTTAAACTTATCACTCATAAACAATACTCTAAAAGTAAAAACTCCAACAAGCTGCACCAAACAGGCCCTTAGCCATGTGGATGAAATCTGATATGTTGCTTTGGTTGATATGTTGTTCAAATTTCTGTTAAGAATTTTTTTAACTAGTTATGAGTTCTTATTATTTATTTATAGACTATAGTTGTTTTTCTCTCTTTTTTTTTAATTCATTTCTGACATTCAGTTGCAGTATTAGAAAACAAAAGATTACGAGTACTCGTAATGTTCTAATAAAACACAGTGCAGGAAAGGTAAAATTTCCTATTTTGTTTTAAGCCGTTCCTTGTCACATGCGAGATATTTTCACTAACACTACTAAAATCCTCACTTTCAGCAACATGGAAGCATGTTGCTGAAAGTGCCTTCCATGTTGTTGAAAGTCCTTCAGCAACATGGGTTTGGTTGCTAAAAGTTTGGTTGGAAAAGGCTTGGTGGGTAATACATTACCAACCAAAATCATGTTGCTAATATATCAGCAACATAAGCTATGTTGTTGAAAAAAAAGTATCAGCAACATAGCTTATGTTGGTGAAAACCTTCACCGGAATCCGGTGGCCGGAGGGGGCGAAATTTCTCACCCCTTTCAGCAACACAAGCTATGTTGCTGAAAAAAAAGTATCAGCAACATAGCTTATGTTGCTGAAAACCTTCACTGGAATCCGGTGGTTAGAGGGGGCGAAATTTCTCACCCCCTTCAGCAACATAGGCCACGTTGCTAAATATAGAGTTTCAGCAACGTGGCTCATGTTGCTAAAAACTTCAAGAAATCTTACCCCCGCCCCGCCGGAGTTCCCAGCAAATTTTCAGCAAATTTTCAGCAAGAAAGGCCATGTTGCTGATTGCATACTTTCACCAACATGCTCCACATTGGTAAAAAAAAAAATGATGGATTCCCCCACACACTTCTAGTCCATTTTCAGCAAGCAAAGTCACGTTGCTGAAACCCTATTTTCAGCAACGTGGCTTATCTTGGTAAAAGTCAAGGGGAGAGAGTGGTTTGCACTTTTCAGCAACATATTCTTTGTTGCTGATTGTGTACTTTCACCAACATACTCCACCTTGGTAAAAAAAAGATTGAATTCCTCCCCATTTCCCGGTCCATTTTCTGCAACCAAAGCCATGTTGCTGAAACCATATTTTCAGCAACAAGAGGCATGTTGCTGATGTCTATGATAATAAATATATTACATTAATGTTTTTATCTGTATTAAATTTAATAAATTTATAATATTTACAAATAAAATTTATTTTTTATTCATCAAATACATATTAATTATCTT